GGAACAAGGACAGAAGTGTTCAGGGCCAAAGGAAACCAGGACTGGAGAAGAAGGAACTGGCTAGGCAAGGGGACTCAGAACAAGAGACTAGACAGTAGATAGGGACAGTGTCTGAAAGCAGACTTAGATAGAAGAGCTAGGCAAGTTACCCTTTGACAAATTGGGTAAGAACAGGATGGCAACCAGGTACCTCAATGTGGACATCTGTTCCTGAGAAAAGGAGTGGGCGTGGCTAGCTTAGAAGAGGGAAGTAGAAGAGAGAAATAGGGTGAGCAAGATACAAAATTAGGACGTGCAGAAGTTAGAAAGAACAGGGAAGAAGTGGTTGAGTTCAGGAAAGAAAAAAAAAAAAAAAAGATTAAAAAATCCATGTTCCCTAGGACACTTCAGAGACCAAGGCTGATTCCAGACCTGCTTCATAGAAAAGCTTCTTGCAATGCACACCTCTTCCTCCAGCTTGTGACAGCAATCCAGCAACCTGCTCCTGCTATCACTTCCTCTTTTGTAGGTCCATGGATAGGCTTAAACATTACAATGTCATGGAAAGCTACATGGCAGAATTTAGTGTGTTTTTTTTTATTTGCTTGTTTAAAATAAAAAATAAAAAAATAAAAAAAGAATGAAAAAAAAAATGAAAGAACTAAAGGAACAAAAGAAAGAAAAAAGAAAGAATGAAAAAAGAACAAAAGAACAAGAAAGACAGGAAGAAAGAGAGAAAGAGAGAAAGAGAGAGAGAAAGAGAGAAAGAGAGACAGAGAGAGAGAAAGAGAGAGAGGGAGAGAGAGAGAGAGAGAGAGAGAGAGAGAAAGAAGAAAGAAAGAAAGAAAGAAAGAAAGAAGAAAGAAAGAAAGAAAGAAAGAAAGAAAGAAAGAAAGAAAGAAAGAAAGAAAGAAAGAAAGAAAGAAAGAAAGAAAGAAAGAAAGAAGAAAGAAAGAAGAAAGAAAAGAAAATTACCATCAGAGCCCTGAGTGTCTTACTGGCCCTACCAGCCTCACCTGGTTCCCCTCCGCATCCCTGGCCATGGGCTAGGAGCCCCATTTCAGCTCAACCCAGGGCCTTCAGTCCCCGCCCCAGTGACGCTGCAGAATATCAGTCTCCAACCCTGTCCCCTGTTCCCCTGGATGGTGTTCTGCCACGGCATCGCCTTGCTAGGGCTGGGCTGGGCTTATATCTTGCCTCCAGCTCCCTCCCAGGGCATCCTGACTCTTCCTTCACCCTGACACTTTACATCCCAATCACATCAAGAGATGATAAGAGTAGCAAAGTCAAGCACTTGGAAATACAACAAGAATACAGACAACCTTAATCTGAATTTGGACCATTCCTACAAAATCACTTTGTAAACATAGAAAATCCTATGACAGAATAAATTATTTGGTCTTCCATTAAAATGTTTGTGTAGTGTAGAGTGACAAAGACAGTGTCACTTGCTGAACAGCAAAGTAAAATACTAACAATGATCTTCTAAAAGAAGTTTGGTGCATTTGTGAAGTTGGTAAAAGTGTTGTTAGGATGAACTATTGTATGAATGGCACTGCTTCAACTAGTAGTCCAAATAAATCAAAATAACTTCCTTCTTTCAATGTTCTCTTATCACAAGCTGGATAGAAGCTGTTCACTTTCAGAAATTATGTCAGTCTAGATTGTTTGCATAGCCTGTGTCTGCCTGGAGATGAGTCAATTCTGTTGAATCAAGGTTATGTTTGATTTGGTCTCTCAGCAATGTTACAGCTCTGCTTTCAGGTCTGGCAGTATTTTAACTCCCACACTGCACCTGACTGTTTTTTATGGTATCCACCTACCATGTACCTTTCTTAGATTAAAGATTTCTGTTGTTAAGTCTTTTCAGCTTTTCCATGTAGGTATGACAAGTCAATACCAGAGGACATTGCTTCCAAAACCCACATTAAATGTGAAACATAGTATAAGAGTAATTTCCTGAGAGATCTTTGGAAAAAAAAAAAAAAAAAGGGTCTAAAGAAACCCAATCTTTAGACTTAGTTTTTGGTTTCCAGTGAAAAAGAGTTAATTTCCTGAAATCAGTGATGTTCTGTTACAGTTCTTATCTCATCACTCTTGTTCACTTCCAAGAATGGTAGACAGATATTAGACATCATCTGATGTGATAACGTGTTATGTTTATAAGTCTGATATGAATCATCCTACAAGTGAAGCTGTGGCACCAAATTTACTGCTCTCTGTGCAGGATCTGGCATACAAATTAGTCTGCTGCCATAAACTTGAATTATGGAACAGGAAATACCAAGCTTACCCGCTTACCCTATAGTAAAACCAAAATGCTTACCTGGATGATTTGCCCTGAAGACAAGTTTTAATTATGTGTTTTATCCTGGACCTGCTCCACACACCAAAAAAAAAAAAAAAAAAAGCTACTAGGCAAAAATAAAAGACAGCTTTTGAAAAGAAAGCCAATACAGTATTAAGAAGCTTTTGTGTAAGTCAGTTAGAAATGTTTTCTGTCTTATGCAGAAATTAAGCAATGCTTATAGGTGTGTGTGCATCAGGTCTCTCTTTCTCTGTTAGGGTCTAACTGTTGGATGATGGACAGTTCTTCCCAGGACCAAATGCGCTATGAAAACACCGGGGAGCCAGCTGAAACACTGAAATTGTTAGAATAAGGCTATATGCAATGCTTTACTGCTAGCAGTGGGTGACTGCAAAACAGAAAAGAGCCAGCAGGAGTCAGAAAGCAGCTTTTTGATTACAGCACTGTCTGTCAAACCGTGTTTTTAAAGGATTCTGGTTAACAAGAGGAGGTTAAGTATGAAAACAAGATGTGTACCTGTATGCCATGTGAGAGCAAAACGTGGCACGTGCTGTTAGACCAACTTTTAAAATGTGGTGGAAAAAAAGGGTCTTGTAAGAAGCTGCCAAATCCAACAGGCAGAGAGAGGCAGGGCTGCCCTCGGCATGCCTCCAAGTCTGTCAAGGCCAAAGGGCACTCACACAAGCACACGTGTATGCTGCATACACACCTATAGGCATGACCTAAGACACAGATCAGCACAGCCATGCTCAGCACTCACACAAATGCAAATGCAAGTGGCCTCATCCTCTTCCCCTCTTTGGCTGAATTTCTGTTAATAGGAATACACATGTATGCATGCACAAGGTGGATCCCTCCAGCAGCTCCCTGGCTCAGACTCTAGGTTTCCTGACCCCTGGATCCCAGTCTCCTCAGTTGCTGGCACCTGGGCAAACGAGCATCTGAGGCTGAGGCCCTCCTGTGCCAGACACACAGACCACACACACAGACAGACCTCTCCGTCTGCCCCAGACAGATCTTCATACACACATGCACCCAGAAGGCAGTGCCCTCAGTCAGAAATGGAGTTGATCACCTTGATCCCTCCTTTTCCCTACCTTTGCTTCCTCCTCCACAAATCCCATAATAAGCTTTGTGCCGCCCCCAAATGCTCTTCCCTTATGTCCTGTAATGTGTCCCATACCCTCAGACTGAAGGGTGCTCTGGAGAGCAGCTGTCGCCAGTGCTGGGCGTCACCCCCAGCACATGGGGTTGATGGCACTGCTGGGACAGCCCCATCAGGGACTGTGTCCTTCTCTCTGACTGGGGCATTGGGTTCCCTGACAGTCATCATTCTCCTTCATGTCTGTGGAGAGGAGCTTTTTATTACAAAGCATCACTGTTGGACTGGATCTGATCGTGCAGTTTTATGGCTGAGACATGAAGAAACCCGTTAATCACACCTAGGAACTGCGGGCATATGGAGGAGGGGCCCTGGCATGACCATGGGAGCCCCTGAAGTCAGTCTTTACGCAGCAGCTGGAATACTGCAAGCAAAAGGAACCGCCAGTTCAAACTGAATCTTGAAAGGGGCTCTGTCATTGTGAACACGATGAGAAATCAAAAACATCACAAGAGACCTGAGGCAAAAATCTCCAATGCCATGTTCACAGGCCTTTCTGGGAAAAGGAGTCCCACAAATTAGAGCAAAAGCAGACAGCGAGATTATATGTGCTGTTTGTTAGAAACACAAGAGGCTCCGCAGTTTATATCTCTTTGCTTGAGTGTTGCATTACCATTCAAGTGTGCAAAACCTGAACAAACACAAAGGCATCAGACTTGCTAGACCAGGGCAATTACTCGTGCAATAAAGAGCAACATTGCAGCAGAAGGTTACCGAACCACCTTTTTCACTGAAAGCAGAAGGGACTTGCATTAGTTTTGGTAGAGATCTGTAGGTCAGTGTAGTAAAGACCTGCTGATCTGGATTAAAACATTGGGCACCACAGAAATATTACTGCTGTGTATAAACCGGAATAGCTCAACCACAGCAGCCATTGCAGCCAGTTCCCAGAAGATCCCTCTGTTGCCCTAGGCCACCGGGATGGTAATAACTCTCAGCTCCTCTGCACCAAACACCACATGAATCAGATATTACATGCCTCCAGCCTCCCACTCCATCCCCTTAAAGTGGAAGCAAAAGCAGCAAAGGTTTTTGGTTGCTTTCTCCCAGGACTATTTGCAAATGCAGAGGAAGGTACTGGCTGCTGGGACTCCTACAGTTAATCCACTTCTCCTTGCTGTGGTGCCCATAGAGGGGTGTCCCCAGCCAGCTATGGTGAGCCACTCTAGTCTGAGTAATGAAAGCCTTGTAAGTGTTTGAAACTCCTCTGCCTGGCAATGTTATCTGTTACCTGTCAAACACTGTATTTTCTGAGAGAAGGGAAGGTGGAAGGAGGAGTACTCACTGAAGGTGCTGACACCACTTGCTTGGAACCACTTGTATGTCTCAGCCTTTGTAACACTTTGTTATAGGCTGCAGACAATGACAGAATTAAACCTGTTGGGTTCTGCAGTGCATCTCTTGCCCCCATCCCCACCCTCTGTCCTGGATCCCCTGTTGTCCAGGCAGCATGTGATAGCCCCCGCCCCTGCATTTGCTCCCCAGGGAAAAGCAGGCACAGCTGCATGCCCACGTCTTGATGAAGAGCTGGGAGACAGCCAAGGCACATACCTGGGAGGAGCTGAGTCACAGCATGAGAGACTCCTTGGCTCCAAGGTGTTGCTGAGCAACACGTTACATGTTGTGACCTTAGCCACCTTTCAAATGGCCCTTGGCCCTTTTGCATTATAAAGGTAGCATGCTGCAGTTGGTTTTGCCATCCATCCACCTACAAATCTGTCAGAGAAAGCAACAGGGAAAAGCATACAGTCATTTTGGGCAGTGAGACATAAGGAAAAATAATATGCCTCTTCTATCCTCTATTTTTAAATCAAGTTTACCTTTCAGGGAGAAGCTGCCCCCTAAAAGATGATGGAGGAAAAAGGAAAAAGAAAGAAAGAATAAAACCATATTTTTCTTTCCTCCCCCAAACATATAGTTTCAATAAAATTCTTAGTGGGAACATTTCACTGTCATTAGTGCTAGAAAAAAAGAAATCTCATCTGTTTTCACTGTAGCTTCATGTTCTGTCATTCTGTTACTCTTCATGTAAATTATTGTAAAATACTGCTGCTGTTGTGCATTCACCTCTCTGCTCTGGGAGGCATCACCTTGGGGCCACCAGAGCAGCTCTTCTGTTCTGAGTGCTTTACTCTCTAGCTTGTAAAAGGATTTTTCATTATTGCAAGGTACACTTCTATTATACCTAAAGCATTTCTACCCCAAGGTAATGTCAGACTGGCATCACCAAGAAATGCAGCCACGGCACAGCAATGGTTTTGTTAAATGCTGAATAAAAGATGTGTGCCAGAGTTTTGCCCAGTGAAGGACAAAGAACTGCACTATTCTGTAACCACTGTATAATGCAGTCAGAAGAACCTTCTCCTTGTTGTACCCCCTAGCTCTGCCCTTAGCTGTGTCTTTGTGTGCCCTTTGTTAACCACGAAGTGTAAAAAGGCTGTGCTGATTTAGGCTCAGTATGACATTTTTCAATACTCAAATATTCCAGGAGCATTTCCTAAGAGCATCTCAAAGTATTTTCAAGAGGTGACTCACAGCACACCTTTCTGGGTTCTCCTTCAGTTTGAATCATAGAAAGCGGATCCCACATTGCATTCCCTCTTTGAGACATCTGTGAAAAATGTAATGCTTACCCAAGAAACTTTTCGCATGAAATTTTGCACGCTCACATCCTTCTTGTTGAGCAGGGAAACTGAAGTGGTCACTAGGCCACTACCCTCACAGGTCCCTCAGTTCCAAAAGAAAGTGAACAAGTCTCTGGAAGTAATTTTTCCAATTTGCTGTTTTTCTGTTTGTTTGTTTCTCAAAAATGAATGTCCTCCACCTTTATATGAGGCCTTTTTTTTTTTTTTTTAAATCAGCACAGAAGGCTACTTGTGTCAACCTTCAACTTCACTCCTACAGTCCCAGTCCCATAGGCTTACAACAACAATAAAAAAGAGCCACATGATCTAGACAGGCATGGATGCCCTGAGCCACTGACCAGAGGTAAGATCTTCTGGATTTGTGAAGTGGAAAAAAAAACAGGAAAATACAAGTGTGTGAAAGCCCTGGGGAGAACCACCACTCTGCTGCTGACATGCAGAAGAACACTACATCTGCCTTGAGAAGTCTCTGGCCCCAGCAGTGATGTTAAACTTCAACTGCCGGAAGCAAAGAGAAATTAAATGCAAGTTTTTCCTTTTGCAAAGCCATTAATAAGCTCTGTCTTTCTACATGGGAATAAATCGTAGGCAATTTAAAATTCTGCACTGCAAATAGGTAAGAGAACTTCAGAAGCTTCATTCAGTGGCTCTCATCCCTCTCTCCCAGTTCTTGGATTCTCTTACAGAAAGACTACTACTGTATTTGCCCTATCTTTGATATTCTTGCTAAATATTTCCTGCTAGCTACCCTAGCTGATAGAATACTGAGTTAAACAGATCAGAGATGTGACTTACTGTGGCTGTTCTTGTTCTGCCTTCTTACCCATTTAATATCACTTCCTCAAAGGAGAAGGATGAACTCTTCCCAGTGCTTGCACTTGGCATATTGTTTGCACTCACATTTTTGGAGAACAGGACATGGAAAATTAGAGCAAAGCCCTGTGAAATCAAGCTGACAGATCCTGCAAAATCCGAGACATCCTTCAGAAAGCACAGTAGTATTTCCTGAGCCTCAGAACCTCATTCCAATTGTATCAAAAAGTTTTTAATGTTAATTCTATTCCTTTTCTTTTTCACAGTTTTCTGTGACTGTATCCATGAACTCCATTTGGTAAGAATTTCAATCTACAAGTGTATTGCTGATTGCTGAGCAGGCAAAACACAAGGTTAAGATATATACCTTACAGGGAAGAGATTTCCTCACCAAAAAAAAAAAAAAAAAAAAAAAGTAGAGACTGGTTTGCATCCATTCATGTAGAATGATATGTCCCTGCAGAACATCACACCGACTGCAATCATACAATCATACCTCACCTCACCTGCAACCTGGGGGAAAACACAAAAACCATCCCTGCAACATCCAGATGGTGCAGCAAGAGGCTGGAGGGAAGAGAAACACTAAAGTTCCCTAACTGCGCAGAAGCAGCCAGAGACACTCTCCAAGAGCTACACAAAAGAGGCTTTGTCTCAGCTGATGAGAGATCCCTTTGAAGCTTGGGAATCCTGACTGGCAGCATTTCATATCTGGCCATCATAGGGTTGGAGCAATGAAGAATGGAAAAGAAGGAAAAGATGGGAAAGGAAAAAGCAGGAAGGAGAGAAGGTAGGATCAGCTCAGAACAGATCTGGCTGAGAGCCCATGATGTCAACATATATTTTGCATTACCACACCCATGCCATTTTTTGTTTTAAAGGCTTTCTTATCAAAATGGAAATTTCCAGTCTACTTTTGCCTTTTTGGTCAGAAGGTGGGAGACATCTCATAACTGCAAAGACATATTACAACCCACTGTTAAAAACAGAAGTCCTCAATGTAAAGATACATTGTAAGACATAATAAGCCTATACTGAGAGCAGGCACTTTCATTTTAAAGAATGCATGCATTGCTAGTTTATCTATCAGATTACAGGCATTTTTTTAAATGACCTAATTCTGACTACCTGGAAATAAGCTGATATTGTTTGATTATTAATATTTCCAGATTTAGAAAATTATATAATTCACTTCCTGCTTGTATACTGTAATGTGGTTACAAAATATTTTTACTCTTCTGTGTTTTGCTTTCTCCATTCACAAACTGCGCAGCTTCCTTGTTGAAAGCTGTAACAATATTGTAGCTGATTCTTGTACAGCAGCGTTTACTCTTTAAGATGTAAAACATTCTAAAGTTACACAAATCTTTTCCCTTAAGATGTTTTTCTTCACCACTGTCAACTTCGCATATCCCTATTATATAAAACTCAAAAACTTCATTCACCTCTCTGATCAACTGTTCTTTTGTCTTTTCATTATTATATTTTATTTAATTAAATGTCTTTAACTGTGATTGAAATGGTAGAAAATACAAAGTAAATTAAGCTTTCACTTTCAAGTCTTTGAATACAAAAGAATCAAAAATTTATTTCATTTATGATATTCTATTGTTGACTGTTATTTTCACCTCCTCTATTTAAAATGTATAACTCTGATCTTATGAGCAAAGAATCCTAATATTAGATATTTCAGAGAATGCAAGTGCTAACCATAAAACTTTTTCATTGGAAATAAAATGGCACTAGAGATTACTCTCCACATTTAATAATAGGACTGGCTATGTTTCACTGAAGCCAAGCAAGAATGGTAGAGAAAGGATTAGACCTCAAGCATTTGTGATTCTCTCACAAGTTTTGAAACTAAATCTTGCTTTTCTTGAAAATATCAAAATTTCTCCTTCTTCCAAGTGTATTTCCCAGTGCTTTCAACAATTGCACTTTTCTCATAAATTGATAGGCTTTCAAGAGTTTCTTCATCATTTAACTATAATGGGATCTCTTATGAAATGTTCATCATAGGGACCACCAGCCATGATGCCTGATCTGTATGCAGTTCAAAGATGATGTCCAGTGACCAGCCACAGCACTTTACCAGGGCACTGTCATGCTCACACACCTCCACAGTGCATCTGTATGGGACTCAGCTGCCTTCCACCTCACCCGTGTCCTCCTAGGAGGCTTCTAGGGGGCCAATGCCCATTCCCCTGGTTAGGAAGAGACTCTTTTGGAGTTGCCTTTCCCTTCCATTCCCAAACAGATGATATTCCTCTGGCCACTGAAGAAATGGTTGTGAGGGGAAGTACACGAAGGAAGGTTGTCTAATCCTTGATTAGTGCTTTCAACTTTGCTCTATTGTGTGAACACCTCTGGGGAAAAATAAAAAATAAAAAATAAAAGAAAAAAAATACTTCAGCATTATCTTCTTCTTTCTGTGGCCCAAGACAGGAAAGTAAAGAAAATCCCCTGATGATTAATTTAAAGGGCAAGGAGGGCAAGGAGTTAGGGATTTTTATTTTGCACGTCTGAGTGGATATCAATGGATGTTGACATTTTTCCTTAAGGTTTACTATCTGTCCTCAAAGGGTAGGAGTAGCTGGGAGAAAGTCTCTATTGTGGATGGGACATAGGAGACAGAATTACCAACCCCTTTAGTCTCAAAAAAATAAAATGTATAAAATATTTAAACTCTCTGAATATAATTTAATTGGGACTTGCCTACAACTCTCATGCTCACTGATTTCACTTAATCTATGCTGGCAGAGTACATCAGGCTGGCAGAAGTGCTGCTGCATTACAGTGCCCTGACTCCGTTAAAACACCGAGCTGCAGCTAAACTGGAGCAACCTTATGTTTATCAAATCCTCAGCTGGCCCTGATGACTCAGGATGGAAGCTATCCCTAGAAGAGGGGAAGTGTAAGGAGGCTGCCCTCCACTGCACACCTGGAAGGGTGCATTTATGAAAAAAGAAGACCCTGCAGGTCCCCGTGCCAGGGAATAGGACTGTCACCCTTCTGTGTTCCCCTCCCCAGTACGTTATCGCCCTGGGAACAGCTTCTCTTAGCTCTCGAGGCAGCAGTCAAAGAGCTCAGAGTGGAGCCACTCTGTGATTACACTTCACATGTGCTTGTGTGAATGCTTTATTATGGTCTTTAAAACAAAAGCAAACATGCTTTATTTTTTCTATATCTTCATGACAGTTCCCCGTGTCATATGAGTGAGACATAGGAGACTAAACGACTGAAGTAATGACCCCCTTAGCCTCAAAATATATATGTATATAAGTATGTATACATGTAAAATAGTAAAGCCTATGAATATAATTTCCTTGGGAATTGTCTACAGCTCTTGTGCTCGCTAGTTTCACTTAATTTACCAATCTTGAGCACATAGTCTAAGTTCCAGGTGATTGTCACCCCACCTCATGTACTACTCTGCACTTATATGAAGCCCTTTTACTCACAACCCCCTGCTGCCACTGATAGCCCCCATTTTGGGATGCTTGGAGCTACAGTCTGAGACAAACCAGTGAAAAGACAAAAGTCAGCAGTCATTGAAAGGAGACTTGTCAGGGTTCAAGCACACCCACTACCTCTGCCACAATTCACTTGACAGGGAGCAGAGTGCCATGACTGAAATCTAGCTCATCAGCACCAAGTCAAATATTTGCCATCTCTCCAGGTAGGTCCCATTTCACGTCTGAGCTGGCGCCAGCTGGGCTCCTCGCTGTTAGCTGACAAGACATCATAAAAGCTCAGAAGCAACAGTTGCTTCATGCGCAAACAGGTACTTATTAACATCTCCTTATTGGGTCTGACACAGTGTAATATCTCCTGTATTCTTTCTGAATTAAGTACACACAGGTGCTGAGAGCTTCAGCTATAATGATCATTACTGCTGATAGCCAGGAACATCAGGGCACTTACCACCAGCTCCTGTCCTGGGAAGCTCACCTGGGTGTATAAGGTATACATCCTTCTGCTTCCTCTGGGACTTTGCTCTTCCTTCTCCTGAGCTCTTCGAGGCTGTGCCATCATTGCACAAAATTGCTTTCCATTCTTTACCTCTTTGAAAGGAGTATTTTCTTTCTTGCATGAGGTCTCGTAGCTCCCTTGCCAGGCTCTGTTACTCTGAGTAGTCAGACAGGAATTGCACTATGACAGTTACAGCTGCCAGCTTTCTGCTGAAATTTTGGGAGGCAAAGATCTATTCATTTCAGTCAAATAGCCCAGCATTTTTCTCTTGGACTTACAACATTCATAAAACAGATATTTCTTCTTCTTTCCTATCCTGTATCAAAAAACAACCTAGCTTTTATATTGCCATTTGTAGCTATAGTTCTGATGGCACATTGAATAGAGGAATTACTAATACTGTTTCAAGATAGGAAGTTCAGTAGAAAAAATCAAGTGACATACCCCAGATCGCTGAGCAGGCATGACACGTATAGTAGTAAAGCTCAGGTCTACTGTGCAGAGGAGCCTTCCTGTACAGCATAGCAGAGTTGCAACAGGGTCCCAGTGCTGAAGAGCTCCTTCAGGGTCTTCTACAGAATAAATAAATACTATTTCCCACTAACACTCCAGGCATTTCCTGCTATTAAGCTGTTCGTTGGTTAACATAGCAATGCCAAAAGATCAGCTTTAAAATATTTGGCACCCAGAGTTGCAATTAGTCTCAAAAAAAGATGTTGCCCAGATTGTTAGAGGTGAATAATACTTGCATGTTGCACTCTCTTGGCACCAACTGCTTGCCCAAGTGCCTGGATATAAGTTATGTCCCTAGCAGATGTCAACCAAGTTAAAAAAAATTGTTCATACTGTAAGTTCACATTATTTCCAGCATGTTGAATAGTATCTGTGATAAAGAGCTTTGCATCTGACTGAAAGAAGCAGCTTTTCTTCTCTGAAATGACTTTCCCAGCCCTCCCTCTTTTTTCTTTCAGGCACCTAATTGTCTTGGGAAAAAATGACCTGTTTATCAAGTTAAACAAAACAACTGCTCTCCAGAACAGACCAATAAAACAGGATTTATATGAAGAGCTACACTTTTATTGGCTATTGGCTTAAGCTCTTTGTCCTAATTTAGGACAGTATCATTTTTATTAGTTTTTTTCCCCCTGTTGAAAAGACTATTAACTATATTGTCATAAATAAGGAACTACATTGTTTAATACGACTGTTAAAAAGGAGGTTTATAGCTCACATGGTTACAAGGGTTCTTTTAGGTCTCATAGTAATTAATAGAAATAGATGTATAGCAATAGTTCACAACATGCTTTTGTTTGACCTTTTTGTCCTACATTTTTGACCACTTTGGGACTGCTTTATGCAATCGCTCCAAAAGCTAACATTCATTGCCCTCTGCTGGCTACATCTTTTACTCAGTGTAACTTGCTATGCACAAACTTGAATTTTAACTGGGAAAGTTACAGGGCACCCTAGACAGGCTGCTAGAGGTAGGAGCTCTCTCAGAGACTACCAGCAGCAAAGCTGTGGTCGAGCTTTGCTGTCTACAGCATCCATGTTAATGAGTTAATGCGTAGTCTCACTCTTGCTAAGGGCAGAAATCACCTTGTGAACAATCAGAGTGAATATTCCTAAAATATTCCTATGGTGCAGTCCAGCTTCTCACCAAGGAATTTCCATAAAGCCAGGGAATGTGAGAGTCAGCTATTTGGTTTGCAGGGAGAGGTGAGGGGACAGAGCTGAAGTAAGCACTGAAGCAAAGCTCAACTCTGTCTGCCTTAGAAGGGAAGGCATTCGTTGTGGAGTAAGTGCACTGGAGGTCTAGGAACCTTTGCATTGTTTTTGCCTTTGCTATGCCTATTTCTTGAGTAATTACATTGTGTGTTTCAAGAGAAGCTTATTCACTAAACACTGAAAAAACTCTCACTTCATTCTCCATGTGCTTGGCAGGTGCTGATCACACATGCTGTAGGAAGCTGGCTTTGAAAAAGTGATGAAAATTCTCTTTCTCACAGAGATAATGTAGCTCATGACTCTCTGACTCTTTATTTTTTCAGCCATATCCTCTTCCTTGAAAACAGTTTTGATATGTTTTTGCCAAATATAAGATGGCATATGTAGTAAAGCACCATGGAGACATTTTCATTCACCAACAAGGAGTATATTATACAAGTTGAAGCCTACATGTGCTTTATGTAGGAAAAAATATTTTAAATGAGGAGATGTGGTGGTTTTACTCAGCTGGGCAGTTTAACTCATAGGAAAGGGGGAGAAAATATGATGGAAAAGACTCAAGGGTTGAGATAAGGACAAGGAGAGCACTCAACAATTACCATCATGGGCAAAACAGACTCAGCATAGGGAGGTTAATATAACTTATTGCCTATCAATAACAAGCTAGAGCAGTAAGAAAATAAAAACAAACTAAAAATACCGTCTTTCTCATACACCCTTTTCTACTTCCTCCCCCTAAGTGGCGCAGGGGAACGGGGAATGTGGGCTGCAGTCAGTCCCCTCCGCCACTCCTTTACGGTCACTCTCGGCCCCTGCTCCACATAGGGTCCCTCCCACAGGATGCCATCCTTCCCAAAGTGATCCTGCAGGGGCTGCCCACAGGCAGCAGCTCCTCAAGAACTGCTCTCACATGGCTCCATACCACAGGGTCCAGTCCCCCAGGAGCAAGATGCTCCAGAAAGGGTCCCCCACGGGCTGCAGTTCCCCCCAGTCCTCCTGTTCCTGCATAGGCTTCTCTCCAAGGGCTGCAGCTATGGCCCCAGGGCCTGCTCCTATGGGGGCTTTCCATGGGCTGCAGCCTTCTCCAGGCCACATCCACCTGCTCCACGGGAGCTATTCCATGGGCTGCAGGGTGGAGATCTACTCCATGTGGGACCCATGGGCTGCAGGGGGACAGCTTGCTCCACCAGGGACCTCTCCACAGGCCACAGGGGAACTGCTGCTGTGTGTCTGGAGTACCTCCTGTCCTCCTGCACTCACGGTGGTGTCTGCAGGGCTGGTTCTCATTCCTTTTCTTTTCCCTTTCTTAAGTCTGCTTTCACAGAGTTGCAAAAAACACTGCTTATTGGCTCAACTCTGGCAGTGGTGGGTCCCCTTTGGAGCCAGCTGAAACTGGCCCTTATCTAACACTGGGGCAGCTTTTGGACTCTTCCTCACAGAGGCCACTCCCGCAGCCCCCCACTACCAAAACCATGCCACATAAACCCTATAGAGAATAACAGAACACTTTGGGCATCTTGAGTTCAGCAATCAGATAAAAATAAATTCACAGAGTAATGGACATAGCAAACTGGAGCTGAGCTGGTTTTAATAAAGCAACAATAGCCTTTAAAAAACTTTGGGATGATATAAGGAGGAGGAAGAAAAGAAATGTTACATGAATCATGGTCTTGTAATGGAGAAGTGGCTATTTCTCTTTTGTGCTGTCTGAG